GCCCCCAAACTGGTGAAGACTCGGCACGGGGACAGCCACCTGGGGCTGGAGCGGGAGCAGGTGGAGAGGGAAGTCACCATCCTCCGCCAGCTCAACCACCCCAACATCATGAGGCTCCACGACCTCTTTGGCAGCAGAGCCGAGGTGGTGCTCATCCTGGAGCTGTGAGTGGGGTGCTGGGGGACACCCACACACCTCTTTGTGCCACGTGTTGGGGGTCCTGAGCTCCCCTGTCCACACCCCACGCAGGATTGGTGGTGGAGAGCTCTTCGACTTCATCGCGGAGAAGGAGATGCTGTCGGAGGAAGAGGCCATTGAGTTCTTGGGACAGATCCTGCGTGGGGTGGAGTACCTGCACGGCCTCCTCATCGCCCACTTCGACCTCAAGGTGCCCACCGAGACCTCCTGCCCTCACTCCCTGGGCATCCAGAGGCTGCATCCACCCTCTCAGGGGCTTCATCCTGCTCAGCTTCCCAGGGTGCTGCTCCTGCTCCAGGGCAGTGCCCATGGCAAAGCCCAGCACCCCTCGTCACCCGCCGTGCCTGGCTTTGCCCCACAGCCTGAGAACATCATGCTGCAGGAGAAGGATGTCCCCAAGCCACGGATCAAGATCATTGACTTCGGGCTGGCTCAGCGCCTGGAGGATGGGGTGACCTTCAAGAGCCTCTGTGGGACCCCCCAGTACATCGGTGCGGGGCCGGCAGGGCCTTGGGGGTCCCCACACAGCCCTGCTCTGTGGGGACGTGGCAAAGGGGACCCTGGGTGTGCAGGGAGGGAGGTGGCGGGATGGTGCTGTCCCCTCTTAACGTCCCCCCCCGGCTCTGTGTTCACCCTCAGCTCCTGAAGTGATCAATTATGAGCCGCTGAGCTCCGCGACTGACATGTGGTGAGGAACCTGGGGGCAGGGAGGGACCCCCTGGGTGCCACAGGGCACGGGGAGGACCCTGGGGAGGGCAGCACCTCACCCTCACCTCTGCCTTTCAGGAGCATTGGGGTCATCACCTACATCCTGTGAGTATGGGGCAATGCTCCCTGTGGCTGGGGAAACTGAGGCACGGGGACGCTGAGATGTGCCCAGGTGCTGGGGGGGCTGAGCTGGTGCTGTGCCAGTGCTCAGTGGCTGTGTTGTGTCCCCACAGGCTCAGCGGATTGTCACCTTTCCAGGGAGAGACAGATGCTGAGACCCTCTCCAACGTCGTGGCTGG